TTATTTAATAATTTAGGTTGTTATTTCTCTTTATGGTCTATATATTTAATATGTATTTTATCCACATCATATATGGTTAAGGTTTTGATCGTATTTGGTAATAACTATAAACGCGCAAAAACTTCTAATTAAGTCGAGTGTTTCCCTCTCCTAACTTCATTCATTTACATTTATTTTATTATTAATCATCATCATTGCTTTATAACATTTTGTTTTTATTTTATTATTACTCATCATACGTTTTTGTTTTCCTTATTTCGTTAATATAATTGTGAATGTAAATTGTTTGTGTCTCCAATATTAATAATAATAATATTAATAAAATTCGTAACTAATCACCTGCACTTTGATTAAACGGGAAGAGAATTTAAATACTCACATCATATATGCTTTATAAAAATATATATTAAAACAATTGCTAGACTTAAAATAATGTTACAAATATATTTTGGTAAAAGGTAAGCTTAAGTTGTATTAATATTAATGGAATGTATTATAAAGTAGATTTGGTTTAAGGTTTTTTTTAAATTGTTTGTTGCAGTTATTTAGTAAAACTTCAAATTTCTAGTGAAATTTGGAATTTCTAGTGAAATTTGGAATTTCTAGTAAAATTTGGAATTTCCTCTCTGGACTTCTACCCTAATTTCGGATTGCTATTGAAATTTTGAATTTCTAGTGAAATTTTGTATTTTTAGTGAAATTTTGAACTTCTAGTGAAATTTTGAACTTCTAGTGAAATCTTAAACTTCTAGTAAAATTTTGAATTTTTAGTGAAATTTTGTATTTCTAGTGAAATTTTGAACTTCTAGTGAAATTTTGAATTTCTAGTAAAATTTTAAATTTCTAGTGAAATTTTGAATTTCTAGTGAAATTTTGTATTTCTAGTGAAATTTTGAATTTCTAGTGAAATTTTGTATTTTAGTGAAATTTTGTATTTCTAGTAAAATTTAGAACTTCTAATGAAATCTTGAACTTCTAGTGAAATTTTAAATTTCTAGTGAAATTTTGAATTTCTAGTGAAATTTTGTATATCTAGTGAAATTTTGAATTTCTAGTGAAATTTTGAATTTCTAGTAAAATTTTTAATTTCTAGTGAAATCATGAATTTCTAGTGAAATCTCGAATTGCTAGTGAAATTTCGAATTTCTAGTTAAATTTTTAATTTCTAAAGAAATTTTGAATTTCTAGTCTTGAACATCTAGTAAAATTTCGAATTGCTAGTGAAATTTTGACTTTCTAGTGAAATTTTGAACTTCTAGTGAAGTTTTGAACTTCTAGTGAAATTATGAATTTCCCGTGAAATTTCGAATTTCTAGCGAAATTTTGAATTTCTAGTGAAATTTTGAACTTCTAGTGAAATTTTCAATTTCTAGTGAAATTTTGAATTTCTAGTGAAATTTTGTATTTCTAGTGAAATTTTGAATTTCTAGTGAAATTTTGAATTTTTAGTGAAATTTTGAATTTCTAGTAAAATTTTTAATTTCTAGTGAAATCTTGAATTTCTAGTGAAATCTCGAATTGCTAGTGAAATTTCGAATTTCTAGTAAAATTTTTAATTTCTAAAGAAATTTTGAATTTCTATTCTTGAACATCTAGTAAAATTTCGAATTGCTAGTGAAATTTTGACTTTCTAGTGAAATTTTGAACTTCTAGTGAAACCTTGAACTTCTAGTGAAATTATGAATTTCTCGTGAAATTTCGAATTTCTAGCGAAATTTTGAATTTCTAGTGAAATTTTGAATTTCTAGTGAAATTTGGAATTTCTATAAAGTCTAAAATTGTTGATGAAATTTTTAATTTCTAGTGAAAATTTAAATTTAAGTGAATCCAATTTAAAAAAATTACTACATTTACTTTTAAATACATTCCTTTCGCTCCAAAAAAGCAAACTTCCTGTCTCCTTGACATAAAAAATATTTAACATTTATTTATCTCTTTATATATTCCTACAGGATCTACAAGATGAAAGCAATCGTTTTGATGGAGAAAAATATTTGGAATTGGTTAAATCCTCTAGTAAACGTAATATAACAGCTGCTGATGACAACACCACTGAGGGAGATAATCAAGATAACGAATAAAAAAAAAAAAATTATTTTTAAATATTTTTCTTAACGAAAATTTTAACATTTAAAAACAACAAAAAAAAAAAACCAAATGCTTTTCAGCATTAAAGAAAAATTTACCTTTTTTTTTAATAAGAAAAGCAAATAATTAAGAAAAAAATACTTTTTTTTATTTTTTGTTTATTACAACTTTTAGATTTAGCAGAAAAACACTTTAAATTTAAAAGTTAAAAAAAAACGAAACCAATTGCAATTTAGGTTAAGTAAAAAAAAAAGAAAACCATTTTAAACAAATATATATACAAATACGTATTATATTAAAAAAAATAGTAACTTTTTTAGTATATATATTTAGAAAAAAAAAAAAAAAAAAAACAAAAAGAATCTACGAACTCAATAATAACCTTAACGATAATTGTTTTGTAATAAAATTACTAAACTTGTTTTATAATACTTTATATATAATTATTAAATTAAATGTCAAACAAAACAGGTCTATAAATTTATAAATTGATATTATTTTGTTTGTTCTGTTCTAAAACAAAAAGACCAATTTTTCTTAAATAATTTTTATTTAAATTTTTTATTATTTATTTATATTGTTTATAATTTTATTTTTTTATTTTTTATAATTCATGTAACAAATTAGTAAATCATTTTTTTATTAATATTTATTTTTGCATTTTTTGTAATTTAAAAATAAAATCAACCAATCCAAATCTAAACACTAATGTAACTAACTTTTAAAAAAGTCTTTATTAAAAAAAAAGTATTCTTTTTATTAAAATTATCAATATTGAATAATAATTTATTAACAAAAACTCATTCTTTTTATATTATGTTTCATTTCTCTTTTACTTCTTTTGTTTGTCTTTTTTAACTTTTCCATTTGTATTGTTAATTATTTGTTATTTGTGTACTGTTTCTATAATTTCTAGTCTACCTGAAACTAAAATTTAATTTAACTATTTTTTTTTTTTAATTGAAATTCATTTGGAATCTATAAAAATTATTATTTTAAATGAAATAAATATATTTACTTTTTTTCTAAAAGAACCTCGAAATTAATGTTGTTTTATTAAAAACTTAAAAGAAAATTTCTTATTTCAAGTGAAATTTTAAATTTCGAGTGAAAGTTTTGTATTTGTAGTGAAATTTCCAATTCGTGGTGAAATTTCAAATTTGTAGCGAAATTTCGAATTTGTGGTGAAATTTCTAATTTTTGGGGAAATTTCGAACTTCTAGTGAAATTTCTAATTTCTAGTGAAATTTCAGATTTCTAGTGAAATTTCAAATTTTTAGTGAAATTTCAAATTTCTAGTGAAATTTCAAATTTCTAGTACAATTTCAAATTGTTTACTAAAACTTCGATGACATTTCTAGAGAAATTTTAAATTTCTAGTAAAATTTCGATATTCTATAGAAAATTCGAATTTGTAATGAAATTAAAAATTTTAAAGTGAAATTTTAAATTTGTAGTTAAATTTAAAATATCTAGTAAAAATTGGAATTTCTAGTGATATTTCGAATTTCTATAAAATTTCAAACAAAATTTAAATTTGTAGTGAAACTTCCAATTTGTGATGACATTTAATATTTCTAGTAAAATTTCAATTTTGTACAGAATATTCGAATTTTTAATGAAATTTCTAGTGAATTTTCTAATTTTTAGTGAAATTTCTTGTAAAATTTCGATTTTGTACAGAAAATTCGAATTCGTAATGGAATTTTTAGTAAAACTTCGAATTTCTAGTGAAATTTCGAATTTGTAGCGGAATCTCGAATTGCTAGTGAAATTTTAAATTTCTTGTGAATGAAATTTCGAATATCTAATGAAATTTCGAATATCTAATGAAATTTTGAATTTCTGGTGAAATTTTAAATTTCTAGTGAAATTTTAAATTTCCAGTGAAATTTAGTTAAATTTAGAATTTCTAGTGAAATTTCGAATTTGTAGTGAAATTTAGAATTTCTAATTTCTAGTGAAATTCTAATTTCTAGTGAAATTTTAAATTTCTTCTAAAAGTTTAAAATATCTAGTGAAATTTGGAATTTCAAGTGACATTTTGTATTTATGAGATTTCTACTGAATTTTCTAAATTTAAGTTAAATTTCGAATTTGTAATTTATAGAGAATGTTCTAATAAAATTTGGAATTTATAGTTTTATCATATTAAAAATTTGGATTTCTTTCTTTTTGTGAAAATTCGAATTTTGAATTACTATTGAAATTATAAATTTATAGTGATATTCTTATAAAATTTTGAATTTCTTATAAAATTTTAAACTTTTTATAGTATTTTGGACATTCTAATAAAATTTCAAATAAAGTTTTAAATATCTGGTAAAATTTTGAATATTTAGTATAATTTCAAATTTATAGTGAAATTTTATGTAATGAATTTCCAATTTCTAGAACATATTCAAGTTGTTAGAGAAGAATAGTATTTTCAAGAAAATTTTAAATTAGAACTCAACTTAGCATTAAAACTTCGAATTCATGGCGAAATTACGAATTTATAGTGATATTTAAATATTCTTACAAAAACATTTTATTTACAATTCAAAATTATTTAAAATCACTAGATCCCACAAAAAAGCACTAAAATGACAACGCTGTAAACATAAGTAAAACACTAGCTACTCTCTTAAATTCTTCTCTTAAAATATAATAATAGTTGCCATATAAAAAACTTAACGGACAATTATAAATAATGCTAAAAAAATACAAAAACAAAAATAACACTTTAATAAATTGTATATTCATTATATTAATGAATTAAAAATTGATTATTTATTTCATTATTTAAAGCTAAACTGCATACATCTGGCATCCTCGCATTTATTGCACATTGGGTGGTCCATTGACGTTTATCTCGTCTCTCTGCTTTCAGGCGGCTGTCATTTTATTTTTGTTTTTTGCTTAATTTACAA